CCCCCCCCGCCCGCCCTTGCCCTGTGTCCGTTGTCGCTCCCCTGCCGGAGCGGGCCGACCCAGTCCCTGATGCACTTGGCTGAAACATGCAGGTCCCCCCCGGCCTGGCCTCATGCTGTTGTTGTTTTAGTTTGTTTGTTTTCCCTGCCCGCGTGGTGACCCTCCCGCGACCGGGCGCATTGCCCAACTCCGGGGGTGCTTTCGCTGGTGCCGCCTCGCGCCTGCCAGAGCCGAAGGGCTTGTGGATTTAGGCCGAACATGCCGACCGACTGGCAGCATGGGCGTCGATGGTTTAGTGGTAGAATTGCCGCCTGCCACGCGGTAGACCCGGGTTCGATTCCCGGTCGACGCATGCTCCTCTTTTTGCCGAACCTCGGCTCCGGCCAAGGGGGGAGGTTCAAAAACAACAACAATTACTGCGGAGGGGGGGGGGGGGGGCCTCATCCTCGCCCTCCCCCCACCCCATGCCCACCTCTCTCGGGGGCCGCCGCACAGCACACCGGCCCGCGCGCCGCCTGTCCGTTGTGGGTTGGTCCCTCCTCCCCCGGGGGTGGGGAAGCTCCTTTTTTCTTTTCTTTTTTTTTCGCAAGGCACGGGGGCATGGGCACCCCCATGCGCGCCGCCAACTCGCGCCCGGCGGTCGCATCTCGCGCGGGTGCCCCCCCTGGAAGTGTCCCCCGCGGCGTCACACCCCCCCGCCGCCTTGCCCCCCCTCCCCTGCCCGTGACCTCTTTTCCCTGGCATGCTCTCGGCACCCGGGCCCCCTTCGGAGAAGGGCAGCAGGGCGAAGGCCCCCACGAACTTTGTCCTTTATCCGAACGTTCTCCCGGAACTTATAGGCCGGACAGCTTGGCCTCCGGGTGGTGCGCCCGGCCCCCCCCCCCCCGCCCCCGCACTCACACGCGCATACGTGGCCGTCGGTCACATTACGTCGGACATGCCCGATTGGTGGCCCAACATTTCCCTTTTTGGATCCCCCCCCCCGATCCGATCGCCTAATGGGCGGGCCATTGCCCGGGGGGGGGGGGGGAGCTTGTTGATCGCCCGCGGTCACCATCCTTCCCGGGGGGCGCCCGCACCGAGGGCAACACCAAAGTGTTCGTGCATGTGCGCGGGGCTCGAACCGGCTTGCCGCTTGGCCAACAAAAGATGCGACCGAGAAGGGGCTTCCGCCCTCGGGTTTCCCGCAGCCCTCGACTCCCCACCCCTCCTCTTGCCCTCCTCGCCTCTCCCGCCCCCACCCCCCCTCCCTCCCCACCCCACCCCCTCCATCTCGCGCGCCCCTCTCCTGCCTCGCCCTCCTCCTCCTCCTCCCCCCCCCACCCCCCCTCCTCCTCCTCCTCTTCACGACGTGAGCGTGTC